CAGAATCTGTGAGGAGAGAATGGCAGGGGACTTGAGAACGAAGGACCCATTCCCTGGGTCCCATCCCTGAGGCTGAGCTTAGAGATGGGCTGGGTAGCTAGGCCTGGGTTGCTGCACCTGTACAGAAGGTGAGAGGGGTTCAGGCCTTGGTGGAGAAGTCCCAGAGCTCTGTCTATTGAATGAAGCTGGGCAGTGCTCCTCCTTGGCCCAGTTATCATTGGCTCTAGTCTCATGAAAATGTGACCCCTTCTTGTCAGAGGGCTCCCAGTAACTCTGACCATGGCTGATCCCAAAGAAGTCATTAAAGGAGAGTCATCTCCTCAGGCTCTAGACACCCCTTAGAACCTCTCTTTCTGCCCTTCCACCTCAGGGAAGGTGGGCTCTGGACTTCAGGATCTGCTGTGTTCAGTGTCCCACAGACTTTATCATTTGGCTGCAGCTGTTACAATATGGCTTCAAATCCTGCAGGTCTAGGCAGGCACTGAAGTGTGTTATTCTTTATAAACTCCTAAGTGATGGGGCGGCTGCTGGTCTGCAGACTGTACTTCGAGTAACAAGGTACAAATGCGACTCTGTACAGCAGACTTATTAAAAGGTGTTCGTACTTGCCAGGTAGGTGATGAAGGCCAATGGTGGTTACTAGCGTCATGGTGAATTGACATACTGGGATTCCTTTTCCCTTAGAGAGGAGGTCCTGGAGGACATGAAGATATGTGTACCTCCCACCCCCAGTCAGGAACCCTGCAGGATGATGAGAGTCCCATGATGTAGAGGAAGGAAGAGACTTAGGAGGAAGACAAATCCGAGATGCAATTCTGTTTCATTTACTTATGTGTTCATTTGAAAGCCAATTGAACACCTGTTGTGTGTCAGGTTCAGGGCTAGGCACCAGGGAAGCAGTAATGAACAGGAGAAGCCCCTCATTTACTCGCTAAGCTACAAAGTCGAATGCAAGTATCTTATCATGAAACCTCAGGGGTCATGACCAACATGATATGCAGGTGGGAGATGGAGCATTTTTCTGGGGGAAGTTTTCTGTGGCTTTCGTCATGTTTTCAAGGATATCCATGACCCATAAATTGCTTAGCATCTTTGGACCTGGGAAGCTTTACTCCTTTCCAGCTCTGTTACCTTGGACAAGAAATGCACCTGTATAAGTCCTTAAATTTCAGTGTCTCCATCTGTGAAGTGGACATTGCAATGATCACTCTGTGGTCATAAAGATAACTGTACTATTGACAAGTCTCCAGAGAAACAGAAAAATTGTGCATGCGTGCGTGTGTGTGTGTTGGTGTGTGTGTGTGTATGTATGGAGAGAGAGAGAGAGAGAGGGAGAGAGAGATTTTAATGAGTTGGTGCACACAATGGAAGGCTGGCAAGTACACAATCTGCAGGGTGAACTGACAGCCTGAAGGCCCTGGAAACTTGCAGTACAAGTTCAAAGCTGTCTGCTGGCAGAATTTCCTCTTGTCCAGGAGAGGTCAATATTTATATTTCAAATACAAATGGGGAGGCTCACCTACTGAAAGTCTGCTGATTTAAATATTAATATTGTCAAAGAACCACACCCACACAAATATCCAGAGTCATTTTTAATTGAATATCTGGGCACTGTGATCCAGCCAAGTAGACACATAGAATTCAATGTCCTGCTGGTCTTAAATAACCAGTGGCTGCTATGTCACTGTCCTCATGTCCAGTGAAACCTCGAGACTCCTGGGCTTTGGAGAATATTTTAAACCCTCCAGAATAGCAGAGACAACCCCAGAAAGGGTCTCAGAAACCACTGAGCAGGTCAAGGACCCCAAGGGCTTGGAGCATCAGTGTCTGGGGTCTGGGAAGGTGGTTCTATAACTGCTCTGGGAGACCTCCTGGCAAGAAGGAGGTGCAGTGGCTACAGGTAGCGTCCCTGAAGCCTGTGGGTAGAGAGTGGGCAAGGGCTGTCAAGCAGGAGGTCAGGGGCTGTCCTCGAACACAGCAGTCAGGCAGAAGCATCTGGACAGTAGACACTCATCTGTCCTGGGAGAGAAGAGCCAGGCATCAAGAATGTCGAGTAGGGAAAAAAAGAGTGTTGAGTAGGGGGTCTGACAGTTGGACCCACACCCCTTTGCCTGGGCTTGGATTCAGCTCTCAGCACATTTTAGTCTAGGAGGAGAGGGTGATTGGAAATTCACAAATGCAGCTACACCAGCTGGGGAAGACTCTCCATTCCCTGAGGGTCCCCAATACCCAGTCAGGCCTAAATTTCTGACCAAGTAAGGATTTGGTCTGTGGGTGTGCTTTGTCCAGAGGCTCTGGCAGCTACAGGACAGGGGGTCAGGGAGCAACTGGGGATGCTACATTTAGGGACAGCACCTTCTTCTCCCTGAGACCAGGGCTATCTTTAGAGGAACCATGGATTCTGGGTCCTGGGAAGTGGGTGCCATATCTACACAGGCATGCTGGAGCAGTGGCTGTCTAGACCCCTCAAGGTTGACCCACCCTGTAGCCCCCAAGATATGGGAAGCCCAAGGTCAGAGGCAGAAGAAGGCAATGCATTCCAATCGCAGAAAAGTTGGACTGGATTCCCCCATACCCTGCATGACATCTTTTAGGGAAGGGTGAACATTCCATATTGTTCAGTGCCTTGTCCTCTCCTGGACTGTAAGCTCTCCAGGATGCAATGCTTGGCCCTTGGGGCCCTCAGTCGGCGTGGAACACAGGGATGCAAATGGTCAAATCAGTCCATGGAGCCTAACCTCACTGTGGCTCTCCTGATATCCCTGAGATAAGAGTCTGTCTGTTACAGCCTCCCATGGTCATGACTGGACAGGTGAAAGATGTGTGAGATGGCCATATGAATCCAGCCACCACTGGGGAGAAAGTTACTGGCCTCTCGGTGAATTGATAAAGGTGAGTTCTAGAGTGCTACTGTACAGACTATAGCCTGAAGTCGCAATAATGTATACTGGAAAACTGCTACGAGAACAGACTTTAAATGTTCTCACTGCACACACACAAAAGAAAATGAGATGATGAATGCATTAATTTGATCGAATCATTTCGCAATGCATACAAAATATCAAAATACCACATTGTACGCAGGGAATAATTTTATTTCGTTTCATTTACTTTTTTGGTTTTGTTTTCTTGAGATAGAGTCTCATCATGAAGCCCATACTGGCCTGGAACTCACCATCTTCCTGCCTCCTCGGCCTTCCAGGTTCTGGGATTGCAGAAGTGTGTTACCACACCTGGCTAATTTTTATTTGTCAGTTATACCTTGCGGGGTTAGCTATACAGATGTAGAGGTGTTTGTGTGTCTGTGTATGTGATGTGAGATCTGTGAGATGCTAAACATGGTATGTTGAACACTATTTTTATTATCTTATCATGATCTTTATATTGGAACCTTGGCTTCTTGCTAAACCTAAATCCCATTCCACCGTGCTGGTCCTCTAGTGAGAATAGCTACTACCCTGTTTTTCCCCACCCAAGCCCACAGAGACTTCTGTTCCAGGCCCCAGGGACATGCTCCACTGACACTTTGGGGAAACTGGGCACCAAGAGTGTTTTCAGCTATGCTTCATACAGGGCCCCAGGGGGTGGGACCAGGCAGATGGCTGTTGGATGAAACAGTTAAGTTGGATCCCCACCACAGCATGGCAGTTAGCAGATGTCCCTCTGGGAGATACCTCCATGGGTAATGACCATGGGTCCTGGAGGGGGCTGGGCTGGGGGTGGGGACCATAGCTGGTCTCGGGCAAGGATGGGGCCATGCAGACCTGTGTGTACTGGGGCAGCTGCTGCCAACCAGCAGAACAGGGGTACCCTCTTCAGGAAACCCACTGTGCATGTGGGTTCTTTTGACCTCCAAGACGGATGAAACCTAGTATAGGCCAGATGGGCTATCATGACCCTGGCCCCAGGCAGCATGCAACCCTCCTGCTGCTGCTGCTTCTTCTGGGCCTGGCTTTGGGGACCCAGAGTCTGCTGCCCTCAAAAGCAGCACGGAGGGGCAGAGCCCTGAGCCCTAGTGCCCGAGCAGGAAGCAGTCAGTCCAGTCTGTGGAGCCTGTGGGGCAGGTAAGAAGCTGGGGTGGGGGTGGTCCCTGGGCTGGAGGCAGGAATGGGTGTCTAAGGGAGGAAGTTGGTAGTAATGGTGAGAGAGGTGAGAAGGATCAGCCTGAGGGGGATCCTGGGCAGAAGATGGCTTAAAATTTTGGCATTTTGATTATCATGGATGTTTGCTTCTTTTGTTTATTTTTTTCCTTTGATAGCGCTGGGGTTTGACCTCACGGCTTTGTACTTGCTAGGCAGGTGCTCTAATATCTGGGCCACCTCCATCCCTGCATTAATATCTTAAAATGTTGTAATAAAATGTATATCTTGATTCCTGAGTTTTCTCATTTCCCTTACATTTTGCACCAAAGTTAGAAAGGCCTTAACCTCCTGCATAGAAATGGAGGTCTTACAGGATGTCTACTGGGTATTAGTCATCCCAGTAGATATTTTGGAGGTGTCTGTTGTCCGGGCAGTGTTTTGGCTACCTCCCATGCCACTTTCCCCCATGGCCAATTCCAAGTCACTACCTGCCAGCACCAGGCATTGTAGGAATGCGTTGTAGGGATTACCCCCAAATCAAGACCCAGGGAGAGGGGATGGGCTGAGGTAAAGATACATGCAGTGTGATGTCTGCAGGGCAGAGCTGGACCTGGAAGGGATAAAAGATAGAGGAATTCACCTGGACAGGGGTACTATAGGCACAGAATCTCTGCAACACTTGGTGATCAGGGCTGATGTGGTAGGTACTGGGATCAAGGTGTGTGAGAGGAGCTGGACAGGTACCAGGTCTAGACTTAGATGTTCCATCCTGGGAAACCACACCATCTGGGAAATTCTGGGGTTTGCTTACAGGGAAGTAATCAGACTTGGCTTGATTTGGATGGGTGGGGAGGGATCCTTCAGGGGGTTGTTGTGGTGGCCCAGGGAGAGTTTGACAGATATGAGGGTAGATGGTGGGGGGGGGCGGGGGCAGGAGAACAGGAGAGGGAAGAGGAAGGATCAGCTCTGACTTTTTTGATAGGCATTTAAGAAAATGCTGTGATCATTTTAGTGGGTTCTATATTCTAAATAAAATGGTTCAAGAGAAAGGCTACAGGCATGTAGAGAGGGTAGCAAAAGATTGACTCACTGACTTGTTCATTAACACTTATTGGGGCTCAAGCCTAGGGATGTTGAAAGGGTGGGCTTGAACCAAGGGAGCCTGTCCAGTTGTAGGGACAGACCCATGGCCTGTTAGGTGCACTAAAGAGGAAAATCATTCTTTTGTGAATGATGCCTAAGCTGGTCTCACAGATCCAGGGATGCAGCCTGGTGGGGGATACCCTGCAGAGGCAGCAGCGGGCAGAGCAAGGGACCATCAGAACTTTGTTGCACTGGCTTTTGTCTTGTGGTTGAGGATGAGGCATTGGTGGGGTTTAAGTAAGGGACCCTTAGAGTTGTATTAGTGTTTTGGAAAAATTGATTCCAATAGCAGACTGGCAATGAGGTCAGATTTGAGGAACAGAGGTCAAGGACTGCATTGCAGAGGTGGTAAGTCTGGAGTTCACACCGCACTTTGGGTTGGGGAGGTGGCCAGGGGTCAAGATTCCTACAAAACTGGACAGTGAATTGAAAGTGAGGATACTGGGTGCTGACCAGGGAGGAGTGGGCATATTCATGGACTGTTGGTGGGAGGCTGAAGTTCTGAAACGAATAGCAACAGGTATGAAGATTTATAAAACTGTGCATTCCTTTTTTGGTGTTACTAGAGATTGAACTCAGCCCCTCTCTCTTGCTAGGCAAGCACTCTACTACTTGAACTACACTCCCACTCCTGTGTTTAAAATTTTGTTTTTGGGAGAGGATCTTGCTAACTTTGCCTATGTAGCCCAGGCTGGCCTTGAACTTGTGATCCTCCTGCTTCCACCTCCAGAGTAGCTGGAGATTAGGGTTTACAGGGCTGAGTCACTATGTGTGTATTCTTTTTACTCAAGTAATTCCCCTTATAGAAACTTGTCTTGAGCGAATAGTCAAAATTTCCATTAAATATTTTAAATGTGTCTGTGGTGAAAAAGTGGAAACAGCCAAAATGTCAAACAATAGAGGAAGGTAAAATAAACTCTGATACATCATTGTAGAGAATATTAAACAGTTATTCAATATGATGTGTCACTGTAGTGACATAAAGATTTAAAAACATACTGCAATGTATTTTACTATTTTCTACTGTTATTCTATTTATTTATTTTTAACTTCAAACATTTTTATTAGAAGTTCTAGAAACAAAAAATGATGAGAAAGGAAGAAAGGCGAGATTTGAAAAATAAATAAATAAAAATTTCTAGAAGCTGGATAAGTTTAGAAGTTTTCAGATTTATAAAGCCTATCAAAGGCATACCAGAGTAAATAAAAATGAACATATACTTAGAGACACTGTAATGAAACTTTAAACATTAAGGAAAATGAGATTTAAAGTCTACTGTTACATTTAACTTACACAGAGTAAATCCATTTTTTGGGTGTAGCAAAAAAGAAGCATACCTTTTAAAAAAATCACAGAATCATGTAACTAAATATTTCATCAATTTCCTTCTCCCCAAATTTCCCTATGCCCCTTGACAGTTGACTACCCTAATCACCAGGTAGGCTGTTTTTGATTCTTTTGTTTTGGTTTATTCAGAATACATATCAAGTAGAATCACACAGTATGTAAGTTTTTATTTTTCTGAAATTAAGCTCTTTATTTTGAGGTAATTGTGGATTCATATGCAGTTATAATACATAATACAGAGGCATCCTGTGTACCTTTACCTAGTTTCCCCAAATGATAATATTTTCCAAGGCTAAAGTAAAATATCAAATCAGTGCATTGACATTGTTACAGTGAAGGGACCAGAACCTTTCTGTCACGACAAACATCACTCATGTTGTTCTCTCATAGCAAAACTTACTTCCATCTCTCCCAAAGTCTTCCTTAACCTCTGGCAACTACGAACTTGGATATCATTTAAAAAATGTTATCATTTCAAGAATGTTCTATAATTTGTGTGTGTGTGTGTGTGTTGTGTGTTGTGTGTTGTGTGTTGTGTGTTGGGACTGAGCCCAGGGCCATGTACATGCTAAGCACGTGTTCCCCCACTGAGTTAGATACCCAGCTTGTATCCGATAAATGGAACCACACAACACGCAGCCTTTGGGAACTGGCTCTTTTTCACTCAATCTAATCCAGGTGGTTAGATGTACAGTAGTTTTTTTTTAATGAGTAGCATTCCAAGTATGTAATCTTCCAAATCTCTTTTCTTTAGTTCAGTATTACACCTTTGCAATTCATGCAAATTATTTTATTTATCAATATTTTGTTCCTTAGCCAGGTGCTGGAGGCTCACACCTGTAATCCTAACTACTCAGGAGGCAGAGATCAGGAGAATCATGGTTCAAAGCCAGTCCAGGCAAACAGTTCAGGAGACCCTGTCTTGAAAAAACATGTCACAAAGAGGGCTGGTGGAATTGCTCAAGTGGTTGTGTACCTGTCTAGCAAGTGTGAGGCCCTGAGTTCAAACCGTAGTACCACAAAAATATTTTGTTCCTTTTAAAAAGTAACGAAAGGATTATATTTATGAACGTATGACAGCTTAGTCATTCCTCAGATGAGGAATACTTGGGTTGTGTCCAGTTTGGGGCAATGATGAATAAAGCTGGTATAAATATTTGCATATAATTTTTTGTTTTCATTCCACGTGGATAAGTATCTAGGAGCAGGATTTGTTTCATATGTCTAAGTGTGTTTATTGGAAAATGATACTCCTTTTAACAAAACAGTCTGTGAGAGTTTGAGTTGGGAATCTTCATAAGCACTTGGTATTGTTGGATTTTAAAAGTTGAGATAAAATTCATATAACATAAAATTCAATCTTTAATCTATTTTTGGTGGTACTGGGAGGTTGAATGCAGGGTCTCATACTTGTTATGCAGGCTGTCTTCCCCCTGAGCCATATGTCCTCAACTCTCAAAATTTTAGTGATCTTAAAGTGTTTAATTCAGTAGCATTTAGTTCATGCACAATGCTGTGCAATCACCCTATTTGAACATAAGCTTTCATTCCACTTGCTTAAATAAATGTGTGTGTTTATTAGAAACTGCCAAATGGCTTCCCAAAGTTTCTTTACCTTTTTACATTCCCATTAGCAATATCCAGAATATTTTAATTACCTCAAAAGAAAATCCAAAAGCAGTCACTGTCCATTCCTTCATTCCCAAGCCACTGGCAACCAATGATTGGCCTTCTGTTTCTAAGGGTTTGCCTATTCTCAATATTTCATAAGATCGAAATAAACAATATATGGCTTTTTGTGTCTGGCTTATTTCACTTAGCATAATGTTTTTAAGATTCCCCTATGTTGTAGGATGTGTCAATGCTTCATTCTTTTTATGGTCAGATAATATTTCATTGTATGAAAAGTCACATTTGTTTATCAGTTCATTAGGTGGTGGACAGTTTTTACTAATTTCTACCTTTTGCTTGTTGAGAACTGTGCTTCTTCTTCTTTTTCTTCTTTTTTTGCAGGCCTCATGCTTGCTAGACAAATACACTACCACTTGAGCCACACCTCCAGCCTGAGAACTCTGTTTTTATGAAATTTGTGTACAATTTTTTTGAATACCTGTCTTTGATTCTTTTGGGTATATGTCTAATGTGGAAATCCTGGGTCATGTGATGACTCTGTATTTGACTTTTTTGAGGAACCACCTAACTGATTTTTACAGTGATTGCATCATTTTACAATCTTATTTTCCCTAAAAAATACTATTTTACAATCTTTGAAATGGCATCTTACAGTAGTTTGGATTTACATTTCTGTAATGAACATTAAGAATTTTTTCATGTGTTGTTGGCTATTTTTATATCTTTTTTGGAGAAATATCTATTCAAATCATTTGCCTATTGTTTGGGTTATCTTCCATTGTTGAGTTGTAAGATTTCATTATACATTCTGAATACAGGCCTGGTCAAAATACTATTCTGAGAATTATATTTCCCATTTGTGTGTTGTCTTTTCACTTTGATAGTTTTCTTTGAAGTACAAATGCTTTTGATTTTGGCAAAATCCAATTTACCTGTTTTTTCTTTTACTGATTGTACCTTTAGTGTCATATCTAAGAATCTGATGTCTAACTCAAGGTCATAAAGATTTATACCTATTTTCTTTTTAAATGTTTTATAGTTTTAGACTTTTCATGCTGGTCTTTGAACAATTTTTGTAGATGGTGTTAGGCTGGGGTATAACTTCATTATTTCCCTTGTGTCTTTTTCCAGCCATGCTGTACCATTTGTTGAACGGTATTGGCCCCATTGCATTATCTTAGCATCTTTGTCAGAAAAATCAATCAACAATGTCCATACTATCCCAAGTGATTTACAGATTCATTATAATCCCTATAAAAATTCCAATGACATTTTTCACAGAAATAGAAAAAAGTGATCCTAAAATTTATATATGGAACAATACCACAAGAATGACTATTGCTCAAGAATTCTGGTAAATATCTTCTATCATGTAAATTATCTAGTCATAGATTAAGAACTGTTTCCTTTGTTTTTTGAGAAATAGATTTTGATTATGCATAATAGGTTTTAATAGGCTGTGATTATTAATTACTTTGAAATAAGATTGTATTACTTAATCAATAATTAATTTAAAAATCTTTTGCATCATGGAAGAAACTTGTCAACATTATGTTAAGTGAAATAAGCCAAATTCAAAAGGACAAATACTGTCTGCTTACATAAGTACCTACAGTATGCAAAATCATACCAACAGAAAGTACAGTAGAGGTTACCAGGAACAGGTGAAGAGGTGGGGGAAATGAAAAGTTATTGCCTAATGGGTGCAGAGTTTGAGAAAGTTCTGGGGATTAGTGGTGGTGATTATAGTAAAAATGTTAAAGTAGAAAATATGTTATATATGTTTTGTTATATTTTGAGCGACAAAGTCTTACTACATAGCCCAGGCTGGCTCCAAACTCAAGATCCTTCTGCCTCTCCCTCCTGAATGCTGGGATTACAGGCATCATGACCATGTCCAGCTTTCCATATATATTTTACCATAATTTTTTTAAAAAGGAGAATTAACTAAAGACTAGGAAAGGGATTTTAAACATACTTTATTGCTTGTATAATGTTCTTATACTTTTAAAGCAGTAAGAGTTTTTAAGCAAAAAATCTTATTTTGCGTCATACTACTACACCAGTTTCTAAGTGGAAGTGCACTAACCACCAAATCCTTGGCAGAGATGCATGCACCTAGTTAGCATCAACTCAATGCTGCATCCTTGTTAGAAATTGAATTGATAATTTAAAGTCAGCAAAGGCAAAACCTGAGGATTTGGAGTCTCAGAGGGTGACTTTGCTGTTTCTTAATTATTTTGAGCCTTGTTTTAATTTTGAAAATGGATATTTAGATGCATCATCTAAGGACGCAGAAGTCATGTCAGTGTGGGAGGTGAGGTGACTCAGTTTACACTGACTCTAGGTTTCCAGATTAGAGGTGGGGTAAGAAAACTCATTGTGAGGAGATAAAAAACATAAAAAGAGCTGGGTTGGGTATGGGGTCAGGGTCCATCTCATCTGGACATGATAAATTTGAGTTTCCTATTAGGCATCCAGCTGGAGATTGTCAATAAGCAATTTAGGTGGAGCAAGGAGAAGATTTGAAGCTGGGATAGATTTGGGCCTCACCCTATGGGCAATAATGAGAGTGCATAAGGTGGGAAGTTGGCAGAAAAGGTAGAGATCCATTGGCTGGTCTGGGGGCCAGCAGCCATGCATGGGCCAGGGAGAAAGGGAAAATAGGGAAAGAGTAGAGTGTGTGGTCTGAGACAACAGGGAAGAGATTCACTGCAAAGAAGGGCAGACCTCATGTTGCATCCTGCAGAGACATCAAGCATAATAGGATTTGGGGTGGGACCTTGAACTTGATCAAGGTCTTGTGGGCTGTCAAGGTCAACTGAGAGGTGCCAGAGATAGAAGTAAGAGCCAAGGGAACTCTTACTATGTCCCCAGCGTGAGAAACAATGCCTAGTGCAAACAGGATGGGTGATGGACAGATTGATGGACAGATGAACAGATGGACAGATGGATGGACAAATGGACGAACAGATGGATGGATGCACAAATAGATGGATGAATGGGTGGATTGATGGATAGAAAAAGTGTGTGCAAGATCAGAGAAGCCCTCATGAATGGAGTGGCACCAAGCTGCCTCTCTTTGGATAGTAATGAAAGCTGAGGTATCTGCATGTGGGAACAGCTTAATTCAGGAATGACCAGTGTGCATGGGTCCACGTAGTAAGCTGATAGGGCTGGAGCATGGGAAACTTGTTGGGAGGAGACTCAAAGGCTCTCAAATGAGCTAGTTCGTGACTCCCTACCACACCTGAGAAGATATTCTGCTCAGGGATTTGCTGAGCATCTCCTGTTCCCAGTGTTGCTATCAGCATTGATTAGGGAGGTGGAGAAACACATGAGGTGACTCCAAGGCCATGGGTGACACCTGCTTAATACAAGGGGACAGATCTCTGGGAGTCTGGCTCCCTTCATGCCCCATCCACCAAGGACATAGCCCATTCACCAGTCTTGTGCCTGTCCATGCCCAGCAGGTTCCTGCTCCAGCCCAGCCCCCAGGCAGCAGGTGGTCCCAGGTGCTGGCCCAATGGACTTTGGTCAGCACCTAAGTCACTATGGTATGTCTTTGGTGGTGGAACCCAGCTCACTGTATTAGGTAAGTGGCTCTCACGATTCCCAGCCTGTCCCAAGATAGTCTCTCTCTCTCTCTCTCTCTCTCTCTCTCTCTCTCTCTCTCTCTCTCTCCCCCATTTCTTCCCCTCTGCCCTCTCAGCCCTCGGCCCTAAGAACTGATCCCTTCTCTTCCCTTTCTCCATGGGGTCTTGGGGAGGTAGGTAGTCCTAGGGAAATCTGCAGGAAGGGCCCCAACAACAGGTACAGCAGCCTTCAGATTTCAATAGTTGGACATGGCCTGGTTCTGGGTGTTGGCAAAGGACCAGGCTCCTTCCCTTCTTATAAGGTAGATGCCTAAGAAGGGACCATGGGCTGGGAAGGCACACAGGAGGCATAGGAATATGACAAGAGCTATAACTCCAGCCTTTGGAGACTCAAGAGGTCACCTGAAGTAGAGAGCAACAGAGGCAAAGACAAGGGTCTGGCTCACTCTAGACTTCAGGTCTCTGATTTTCTGCTCTGCCATGAGTACACAGGGACACAGAGAGACAGCTCATACTAGGTAAGGTGACCAGAGCCTGGCCCCTCAGGCTGGTCTGGAAAGGAATAGAGACTCATCCTTCCCTGGGCCCCTTTACTACAGGGCTCAGTGTCTCACTTGTCCATGGATCAGCTTCCCTTCCTCAAAGGGCACATTAGATTTGTGAGATGAGGAATGGGGAAGCACATTGTGTGGCTGGTGTGTGTGTGTGTTCAGGAACCACTTGGCTGCCAGGTAAAATCAGGAGTCATCAGAGGCTGCTGAGGTAGACAGGGTGCTGTTATATTCAGTATTCTGTGGGAAAGAACCTTAAGAACATAGCAAGGCAAAGGGTCTTATGATTGGGCTAGGGGAGACAGAAGGACTTTGGAGGAGTCCCTATTTGTCTGGGTGGAGCCCACTGCTCACTAGGAGAGCTGAGTGGATGGAGTAATGCACAGACTCCAGGCCACTCATGCAGTGGGAACAGACTCAAGGTCTTGGCACATGTACTCCAGGATCATCTTATCAGTCTGAGTGGAGTGCCCCCAGTTCACAAAGGAGGCTCCGAACAGTTAAAGGATGAGGTAAGGTGGGTCCTGGTGGGGAAAGGTACTTAGCAGTTCAGGGCCAGATTCCAAACTCACAATCTGATCAGGGAAGAAGGAGCGCTGGCAGCCATGGTGACAATGGGGAAACTGAGGCTGCATGAAAAGGACTGTGGAGAGTGGATTATGAGAAACCTAAGCGAAGTGGACATAGGCAAGGGGAGATGCAGTCTCAACTGTTTTTCCTAAGATGTTTATCTGTAGGTGGAGATTGGCACAGCCCCTGGCCACAGAAGGGGAAGATGCAACACAGCTGCTTCTCCTAAATGGTTTACATTCAGAGAAGCAGGAATGCAGTGTCACACCCCTCCCCAAGAACTGCTGCCCCACCGTTTCCCACTGGATATAAAAGACTCACTGAAGGAGGATGCCAGGCTTTTGTTTTGGGGCTTTTTACTTAAGGGTTTTACTTTTGGCTTTCTGATGGGGAAGGCTTTTTGGTGTGGGAGGCTTTGGAAGGGAAAAGAATTGCTAAAGGGGAATTGCTAGCAAGCCTAAGGGCCGAGACTTTAAGAAAGCTAAAGAGAACATGGGACAATGCATGTCTGCATTGAGAATTTTATACATAGGCTTTAGAAAAGCTAAACTAAAGAAAATCTAAAGAGAATATGGGACAGTGGAAGTCTAAGGACTTTTAAGAGTTATGCATATGCAGATTTTAAGCGTGGCTATTGTTTATGAGCCTGAGAACTGAGGCTTTAAGAAATTTAAAGAGACAGTTCAAGTCTGGGGGCAAAGACTTTGCGAGATTATGCTAAAGAACAGCTAAGAGAAAACATGGAGCAGAATGTGTCTAAGGAAAGAGGTTTTAAGCAAGATTTTAAAGAACTGTAAAGGAGTAAGGCTTTAAAGAATAAAGATAGAGAAAAGAAGCAGTGAGGGTTGGGCGTCTCCACCCGAGTGCCTAACACACCTGATCCCACTTTCTGTCTGTCTATCGTGTGTCTTTTCTGAATCTCCATTCGCCCCCAGTTAGGCCCAGTTAGGTTCAGTAATAACCAGGATTGAGAGAAAGCTCGCTCCAACAAAGAAGCGAGAGAAAAATCTCACTCCAAAGGACCTGGGCAGTGTCACCAGGGAGAACTGAGGAAGAGCTTCTAGAGAAGGTGCAGGGCTGTCTGATGATCAGTGGGTTCAAGTGGACAGAGGGAACAGAGGGAAGGAGTGTCCCTGGGTAGACAAGATGGTCACACTGAACATACAGAGTTTAGAAGGGTGGGTGCTTCTCCAATACCTGGACTCTCTTAATGACCCCCCTTACCCCATTTTCTGCCCACACAGGTCAGCCCAAGGCCGTTCCCTCAGTCATCCTGTTCCCACCTTCCTATGAGGAACTCCAGGATAACAGGGCTACGCTGGTGTGTCTGATGAATGACTTCTACCCAGGTGCTGTGACAGTGGTCTGGAAGGTAGATGGCACCCTTGTCACCCAGGGTGTGGAGACCACCCAGCCCTCAAAACAAAGCAACAACAAGTACATAGCCAGCAGCTACCTGACCCTTACCCCTGACCAGTGGACAGCTCACAGAAGATATAGCTGCCAGGTCATGCATGAAGGGAGCACGGTGGAGAAAAGTGTATCCCTTGCAGAATGTTCCTAGGTCTCCAACCCTCCCCTCCCCTCAGGGGCCTGGAACTGAAGGGCCCAGGGAGGAGTCTATTCTCCTGCTCTTAGTTATTCCAACCCTTCTCTCTAGACCCAGTAAATGCTCAAAAAAAAAAAAAAAAGACCTGCTCTATCTCATTTGTTCCTATCTCATGTTTCATTTGCAACACTGGGGATTTCAGGGTGGGGTAGGAAAATTCTAGTGCCCATTGAGCAAGTAGCCTAGGAAGAGGCTCACACTCTTGGCATCATCTGGGAAACAGTCTGGTCACCAAGACATCAGCCCCTGTTTCCTGTCCTTTCTCCCTTTCCTCGTTCTAGTACAGAGTTCCCACTTTCTGCCTCCTTTCTGAATGCAGTTGTCCAGGGCTGTGGTCTTCTAAGACACCTCCTCTGCCCACCATGGTCTGAGGGGAAAAGGCTTACAGACATTAATTTTAAGGATGATGCTAGCAATAGAAACTAACCAATGTAAAACAATTGCTGTCTCCACTTGCAAAGCATTAAATTGTTAGAGGTGTACATGCAGACATATATTTCCAACATTTGTACACACTTAAAGAGAACTCTACAGTATGCATTATAAAAATCTCAGTGATATGTCATGCTAAACTAGTTCCCAAGTCACCATTATAATTACCCAAACAAACAAACAAACAAACACTTATGTACAGGACATCTACTTTTTTATTAGCACATAATAGTTGTGTAGGGGGATACATTGTGATATTTACATATATGCTTACAATATATCTTAATTAGATTTAACCCTTCCATCATTGTTCCTTTTTCCTCTCCCCTCTTCTTAGAACAATATCAACAGGTTTCAAACCAGGGCATCTATTGAACCATTTCCAATTGCCAGGTAGTGATCTTCTGTATAAAGGACAGGCATGTTCAGGGAATACAGCAATGAGTAAAATGGATAAATCCCACATCCTCTAGTTGGGAGAGGCAAAAATAAACAAGTATGCATAAACATGAATGTAGAGATAAAATTAAATGGGTAAAGCAAATAGTACAAGAGGCTAAGTGCTAGGGAAAAGTAATAAGCATGGCAGGGAAATGGCCAGGGTTCATTTGTTCAGGGAGACCTTCTGGGGAATATGAGAAGGATATTGACATAGATACTCAGGGAACAAAAAGAATATCAGTGTGCAGGGAAGAGAGTGAGCAAAGTGGAGATGAGAGGAAATGGAATTCAGAAGGCATATGGAAGTCCCATATTACTAGGATTTGGGAGGCATTTTGAGAAGTATGGATTTTGCCTCGAGTAAGTCATCGAAGAGATTGAGTGATGGGATCTGACTTACCGTTTTCACAGGATCTCTCTGGATGTTCCCTAGAGACTGTAAGACAGCAAAGTAATGATTGGGGAGGGCAATAATTGGGGAGGTTCAAAGAAGTAATTTACTCAAACATGAGACTTCTGCTCTGTGGAGATGCAGAAGTAGAGAAAAAGGCTCACTGATCAAATCAGGCTCTCAGCTGGTTCTGGTATGACTTGTGAGCCAAGAATAATGTGAAAAGGTTGCTGAAGAAAATGAAACAGGAGGCGCTGCAGAAACTGCATATGACCAACAAATCTAAAAAGGGTTAGAATATCTAGAAAATATTTGGCCAGTACCTAGAGTAAAGCATCTGACTGGAAGCAGATCCTCAACAATATGGGGAGAAGGAATACGCCAATAAATTAGTTGATGAAAACATTACGAAGTGACGGGTGTCAAGAAACACTTCTCTATGGCTTTATCCCCAACCTCAGAGGGCTCTTGGCCCTTCCCAACTCACCCTTTTTCTGTCATGTCTTCCATTGTGACATCACAAGGGCGGAGTTGGACAGTTCATGCTTGGCAATCCACGGATTAGGAAAGGAGAGAGCGCTCTCTCCGTTTCTCCTCATCTTCTGCGCACAACCTGCTCAAATGGGGAATTTTATGAGTGAGCCTGTCACCCGCCCGGCTGCTTGCTCGGCCGGGCCATCACTGCACTAGTTCGTGAGGCCTGTAGTACGCCCTGGCTTGGCCGGAGTCACCCTGCTACTCCTTGACTGCCATCGTCCTATGTGCAGGCTATTCAACCAGGATCCCCACAGTATGCCTTTTCCAGACGGCCATAGCTCCCCAAGAAGTGGCACCCTCTCCAAGAGGCCATGGACTCCACTCTGGGGATCTTTCCCTTTGGCACCCTGAGGGGACTCCCCAGAAAAATGAGGCATGGACTCCACTCCGGGGATCTTCTCCTTTGGCACCCTGGGGGAACTCCCCAGAAAAACCCATGCTGTTAACTCCCAACTGTGGCACGTTTCGACTTTCCAGAACTTTAAGGATCCCACCTCCCCAGCACAGAGCTGCTCTTTTGCTTTCACCATCTGAGCAAGTAGTCCAGGCTGTGGAGCCCATGACATCCAGTCAACAACCTCTTCTATGCCCAAGTGACAGAAGAGGGACCAAGAGAAGCCTGTGAAAGTGAGGGCAAAGGAGAAGGAAGAAGAGGGTGGGGAAGAGATGGAAAGGCAGGACTATAAGGAAAGGGGTCACCTTAGCAATGGGGAAGTGGCACCATCCAGGCCCCTGAAGACCAAGGCAGACTTCACTTCCATGGGGAGGGGCAATCCTTCTACATCCATCTATATCCCAAGGACACAGAGAACAGCTTGGATGAGATGGCCCTATATTCCCCGTAAGCTCCTTCTCTGAGGTCCATGGTGTCCCCAGCTCTCACAGCCCTGCTGGAGGTGTCCTGACTCTTGAGCAGCCTGATGCAGATGGGACAGTGTTCCCTAATCTAGCCCCAGGATGCTTCACCCTTCCAGAGAAGTACACCAATGAAGACCATCTGCCCAGCTCCTCAGACTCTCAGGGATTAGGGATGGAGGTGCAGGGTGAAAAGCCTCCAGTGGAGCCATAGCTCCTCCACCTATAGCTCTTGCTTATAAGACCTGCAAGTGAAAAGAAACCATACCAAAGAAGATGCTGGCACTGCCTTTGCCACTACTGTGGGGTTGAGGTGAGCTGCCCCCACCTCCTAGGCTCCATGTATTTCTTTAGAGAAAGACTTGGGCACCTGGGAACAACATTCAGTGGCAAAAGAGTAAGATCTTGGAGGATAAAATGGTGGTGTTGGAGAGTAAAAAGAGGTGGTGGCAGATGGCACCTTATTTTCTTCCACCTGCTGCAGGGTCTGCAGACCCCATGCTCCTGTCCACTTACACTTTGCAGATCCCAGATATTCTTGCCACCATTGACTTGGCAGATCAGACTGCTGGGCCCTTGATCCTGTCTGTCTCTCTACCTTCCCTCACACCAAATATTAATAAGGACAAGACACCCACAATCCCCAATTCTCCTTTGTCTCTCCCTGCTGTCCCTCTTTCTCCCTTTAGTTCAAGTACAAATTTTATGGTTCTATCTAATGACAATGACAAACTGCAGTACAACCCATTTCTCACCTCCCCACAACTGCACTCCCTGAACATTTGTCCTTCAAGCCTCTCTCTTTCAGGATGGAATCCTTGACATCCTTGTGCATAGATCCCCCACCACCTGTTTCATTCTCCACTCTTCAGGAACCCTGTTAGCTCTGGTGCACCCATCACTTCGGCCATAGTCTTTTCTACTACAGCAGCCAGTGCATCTGTACACTTGACTGGGTGGCTGCCTTTAGATTTTTGAGGTCACTGACATGGACACCACTTTCCCTTCTCAGGCTGATATTTTCACATTGCCCCCAGGCTCCAGTGTGAGCTCTTTCCCATTTCCCCATGTCAATTGCAGCATGAGGCAGAGGTACCCTGCCAATGGACGAGTCTCCACCAGCCCACTTATTCTCAGGGCTCCCTACCCCACCCCAAGTTTTCACTATCTCTTTGGCCCCCAAACCACTTCTTGGCACAAAGTTGGGTATCCTGATGGGTAGCAAAAGAGAGCTGCTTTCCTCAGAGTCCCTCTTCTTTTGTTTCACCCCCCCCAAGAGAGATTCTACACTTGCAACCATTCTAATAGACAGTGCTTCTGCAATGCCATCAACCAAGCCTTTCACTGGCACCAACGAGGCTATGGATACAACCCCTCTTTCCAAGACTGCCATCTTCCAGTCACCTCCTGTGTCTAAGGACACCTACATTCTATTTGGTGTGGTGCTTGTTGGTTCTGGAAATCTGCTACCCAGTGGCAGCATTCAAGTCTTCACCAATTTGTGTGTACATTGTGGTCCATTCAGGGACTAAGCACCACTTTCAACCATCGTTTCAATACAAGAGCCATATCTCAGACTACATTTGGGACCCATAATGTGCAGCAACATGACATCTCTTTCTGAGAAACCCAGCAGCCTCAACACCAGCTATTGACCTAACCTTTCCTGCACCCCAACCACCCAATGGGGGCATAAAGCCATCAGGACTTGTGGGCCTGACATCATCTTGGTCTGAACTTGTCACGCCAGTCACTACCCAGCTGGTCTCTGGTAAGAAACCCAGGGCTTTTCACCTTCTCATAGACAAAGCTGCTGCCTTCAGACTTGTCACTAGGATGACTGACTCTAGGGACGGTAACTTATTGTTTTCCCACATGGCTTCTGGCTCACTGGTGCTCATGGGATCTGAGGCTCCTTCAAGTGGAGGGAACTTTGGGTTCCAGTTCCAATTTCAAAGTTCCAACTTTATATCAGGACTGAAGGGGACAGTCAGCATCCTTCCTGTGCCTCCTTTTAGTCAAAAAAAAGCTGGAGTACAGCTGGACATAGCATGGCTGCTATACCAGGAAGTGCCAGTGGATGGTAGAAGGCTGTATGGATCACCAACATCCTTCCTGGCTTGACTGCTCATCTGGATGAGCCCAGGGCTGGGCTAGTTTTTGCTAACCCTGGACCTGGCAGGATGCCAATGTTCTTGTTTACAGGTGCTTCCTTTTCTCTCCATTGTTTGCCTCAACAGCTCCTGTCTTCCCCTACGTATGCATATAAAAATCTGGTTCTTGTTAATTTGCCTCTGTT